GTAAGTATAAAATCTATCAAATGACAACATCACACCTTCAAAACATTAGTCATATTAATTATAATACAAACATATATCAATCTCGTAAGGTACAAATTTGTTAGTCTTTAAACAACTCGTATTTCAGAAGAAAACTCAAACCATTATGAAATAAGGAGATGTAGTGCCTATGAGACATCTTTCTATCAAAGACAAAATTATGTTTTGTCACAAAATGCCTTATAAAATAGACCATCATCAGATACGCTTAATACATATTTTGGTCCCGGAAGCATACTGTTTTACCCGTTTCCATATGACAGCCCGTCCCTGACTTGGTATATATAACTGAGGGTTTATTCAGTTTATTTCTTATTGCTAAGTTTTTAAGATTCAACTTTAAATTATGTACCAGGTGTTAGTATATATACCAAAAGTGCGCATATTGTCAGGATTTTTGTTTGTTTTTTGTTTTAAATGTCAGGTTGCTTAATTTGGCATTTTGTTAATATATAAATGCACGCAGAATACATAGCCCTGCTTACTACTTCTACATGTACAATTTCAAGCTTGAACTTTTATATTGTGCAGAGTGTTTTAGTTATATAGAGGGTGCATATATATTCTCAGAATTTTATATTGTATAATTTTTCACGAATGACAGAATGTTGAACTTTGTCTTTTCAAGTGAAATTTTGAATACAATTTGTAAGGTGCCTTAATATATTATCAAAATGTTAAAATGAGCAAACTCATTAAAAAAAATTACACGTTTACACCATGCAGTATACTTGATTAAGAATATGTATTTCATCAAGATATTGTTTGTATGTATCATTTTTTACAACTAACAAAATTTTAACCTTTTTTGATGGTTGCATTAAATGTGTCTTTTAAACACAACTATTTCTAATTGTATTGAATCGTCCTAAACATGCATGAAATATTTGACACACGGAAGTTGCGGTGGCATCACCCTTGTCTAATTTGGCTAGTAGGGTTAAGTTGAAGATTTGAATTTCTTTATAAGCTAATTATGCACCCGGTTAGGACGAAATGTAAGTAACCGGACAGGGGAAATGAAAACAAAATAACAAACACCATTCAGATCCCGTTACATATTTTCATACCTCTCCGTAAAAATAACGTTATTTGATATGCAGTAGCGTCATCCCTTTTCTGTCAAATTCTTTGAATATCGGTCAACTTTGACGCAATTTATCTAAAAAACAGGGATGGTAACATGTTTGTTTCTATAAAATTTAAATGCACGGATTCAGAATACAATCATTGATATTCTGTTAGTTTTTAGTCTTTCTCCGTATATATAAGAGATCGTAATGATTGAATAAGTGACGACGCTTGGCGTATTTATGAGTCGTTTTCATTAAGCCTACTATGACATTTATTAGCACTTTCCTCGAGCTTTGTATTATCTAATTTAATAAAATAATCAATTTCCGGCTCACTACTATTATTTTTTTATAAACATTTTTGTCTCCCTTATCTACCCCTTTTCTCCTTTCTCCCACCCCCTCTCTCCTTTCTCCCGCCCCCTCTCTCCCTTCTCCCACCCCTCTCTCCCTGTCTCCCTTTACCCTGTCCGCCCTCTCCTCTATGACTTCTTACTTTTTGCAATCATGTCGGCAGATGAAATCATTGCTTGTACATTTTGAACGATCATCTTTAACCTTTTAATCAACTATTTCAGTTATTTATAAATGGTTGTCCTTCAAATATTTGGCTTTGAGCGTTCCTGATAAAGGTAGATCCAGAAAAGCGCTTCGGACGCATGCAATTTTTGACGTTTTGTTTTCTATCGATTGCATGACGATCATATATTGCCTTATATCATTGATTTTAGTTCTAAGTATTGGTACAGTAGGAAAAATAAATTCAGTGAACGTTGTGCTAGCCTCGAATGTGGGTGGTTGTTGATATCTTTTTTACGCTTTTATTTGCATACCAAATACCATTGACTTAACATTAGCAGTTCATCTTAAACTGATCTAATCACAAACTAATACATGTAAACTAAGCAAAAGTTAAAAGTAAATAGACCATGACTGAGGGGGCGGGGCCAAATATTCTCCATGGAAATGAGATGTGCTAATGCTTATACAACTGAACACCAATTAACATTGGCCTACTACTAATGGTTCCCCTTCAAGGCCTTGAACTGACCTAATCACGAACTTATACAAAAAGTCATGTAAACTTAGCAAAATTTTCAAAGTCAATAGACCATGACTAAGGGGACAGAGCCAAATTATCTCCATGGAAAATGAGATATGCCAATAGATAAAGGAAGATGTGGTATGAGTGCCAATGAGACAACTCTCCATCCAAGTTACAATTTATAAAAGTAAACCATTATAGGTCAAGGTACGGCCTTCAACACGGAGCATTGGCTCACACTGAACAGCAAGCTATAAAGGGCCCCAAAAAATTACTAGTGTAAAACCATTCAAACTATGCTTATACAACTGCATACCAAATATCATTGACCTACCACTAGTGGTTCCCTATAAATTGACCTAATCACAAACTAATACATGTAAACTATGAAAAGTTTCAAAGTCAATAGACCTTGACTGAGGGGGCGGATCCAAATAATCTCCATGGTAATGAAATGTGGCAATGCTAATACAACTGCATACCAAATATCATTGACCTACCACTAGTGGTTCACCATGAACTAGACCTAATCACAAACTAATACATTGTTGACGTCACCGCCACCGTCGCCGAAACAGCATACCTATATGTCTCGCTTTTTGACTCCGTCAAGGCGAGACAAAAAAGCAGCTATGATCAACATGATCATTGGTCATGATGGTGATGTAAATAAGATTACACATGCTGAAATGTCACGTCTCAGCTTTACCTACATGTACATGAGTATAATTGAATTGTTGTTGAAATTCTGTAATATGAAGGTTTTACTAGCCTACAAATCACATACACTTTACATTATTAAAAACTACATTAAAATAGTCAGGTAAAATTAACCATGCCAGATAGAGGATGTAAACCTTACAGTCATTCCATACCCAAAATTTAGTGGTTTATATACATAGTATCTGAGAAAAAGACCAAACATCCAAAGCATGAAAATTACATTGTCCAATGAACCTTGAAAATGAGGTCATAGTCAGATGAAACCGGCCAATCAAACATGTACACCTTACAATCATTCCATATCATGCCAAAATAGTGATCCTATACATGTAGCTTATAGCATCTAAAGAAACATTGGAAAATAGATCAAACCACAAAAACTAAACATTGTTCAATGAACCCATGACAGGTCAATGTCTGATGAACCCTACCAGTCAGACATAATACACTGTACAATTGTTCCATACATCAAATAAACATGAAGTTGATCTACTGGCATGACTGGAGTACTGCTTATATATATATATATATATATATAGTATCTGCAAAACAAACTTAACAATGTGACTATAAAATAACCTTAGTCACTTATCCATGAAATAAAGTCAAGGTCTGGGCAACCCAACCTGATAGACAAGTAGACCTTGCAAGATACTCATATACAAAAAATGTATCCAATTACTCATATAAGAGAGCATTTCACTGTTAAAAAAAACAGTATTTTTTTCATACAGTCACTGAACCATGAAAATGAGGTCAGGTGCAATGAACATGATGAACATATGAGTATAATGACAGACTGAAACTTCATAACATATTAGCTATCTGATCAATACAAGATAAGAAGCATCCAGATCTTTTAGCTTTTAAAATGTAAAGCTTAAAAAATAGTTTACGTCACCACCCCCAGATTGTAATACCTATTTCTTGCATACCACCAACTTTTGTCGTAGGTGAGACAATAAAATGATACTTTGAAGTACATGTATTGTTTAATATGCTTGACAAGTATAAAATGCAAGTTTCAGTATGACCAATAATTTAGACTATTATCAATATACATGTATGTACATTCAGACTCTTATAAGTACATCAAGCAGTCATTTGACACTACAGCACTAACCAACAAGCATGAGAGGGCTGTGACAGACCCTCATGGGTAGTCAAGGTTGTTTAACACCCCCTGGTGGTACATGTAGCTCACAATAGCAATGACAGCATTAACTTCAGATGTGATGTACTATAAATTTCACAGAAACCAGAAATTCTCATTATCCAAATTTGAAATGAATAATAATCCAAGGTATTCATGAATTCAGATATGATGCACTATGAAGACACCTAAAAATCCCTAGGGAAAACAGGTTGTGTCAGTCCTACAATACAATTGAGGATGAAAAACATTAATTTTTCTTTTCTATTGCAGGAAAAATGCTACCATTAGACCCTTTTTTCATTGAAAAATTAACAAAGGCTAAAAGTATAGAAAATTTTAATAGCCTCAATGAAAATGAAAAAAATGATAAACATTCTTTGCCCATCAACACAAAAACAGATAGAAAGCATAGGTTCCTTTATAAAAAAGTCATTGGCACTAAGGATAGGGGACTCATAATTGAATTTTGAACTATTTTCATCAGTTTAATATGATTATCATGATTATACATGCTTTTTTCTTGTCATTTAATGTATATAATTATTAATGTTGTTTTTGTCACAAATCGTATAAGTTGGTTTATATGGCAATACAAGTTTGATTTGATTTGACTATTAGTAATCACTGAAACTATGAATTTTCATTATTCCAATTTGCTATTCTAAATGAATAACTATCCAAGATATTCATGGAATTCAGATATGATGCACTATTAATATTCCCAGAAAACTATGAATTCTCTTTATTCCAAATTGTTATTTCAAATGAATAATATATCAAAGGTATTCACTGTCATCAAGTAATGTAGTCTTTCTTACAAATTGTAAGATGGCTATTTGTTCAATGCACAATTTTCTTCTTGTCCAATCTAATCCGAACATCCCTTCAACATCATGGCATAATGCTGTAAGCCCTATTTGTTATTTACAAAAGCAATAAGTAAACACAAAGTTATGAATTAATCCACTGTTTCACAATTAGCAGCTATGAGAGTTACTTAGTGACATCTATATATATTTCCTATACCATGTATATGCCGGCTTCATAATCTGGCTGGGAATCATGCTCAAACTAATGTGAATTCTACAAAAAAAAATATACATTAAGAATAAAGTACTGAAACTAATCTAATATTGTATATATTTACTTGTATTTAGTATCTAGAAGAAAAACCGGCGAGTCTAATTTGCTTGATAACAAAGTTCTATGACTAATACGACTGTATTTATGACTTATACAATTGAACTTATATATAAGTCTCATATAACAAGAAGAATAAAATCTTTCTTTGGGGTTCTATTTTTAAAAAGATATTGTCTCTCTTTCTACATTAATGTTTTCTTATGTGTGTACTTCATTGAAGGGTTACTGTCTAATTGAGGCTAGCACTTTACATTTGTTTTGATCAATTCTTTAAAGTCTTGACATAGTTATTTCTCTCTAAAACACAACAGCTGGTATTTCTTTTGATCATTTTATAAAATTACTACAAAGATAAGTTTAAAGAATGATTAATAAAAACAGAAATAAATGCATTATATCTAAAAATTACTTTATTTTAGAAAGAAGGTATATTCTGGAATCTGGATGATATATTAGCACAAACTTGGTCAATTTGATTTCTCCAGTTAAGTGTGCTGTCAATTTTAACACCTAATAATTTTTCACATGAAGAATTTTGTAATACTTTTGAATTTATTATCAAGTTTGGTTGATAAGTCTGAATTGATAGTTTCTGCTTTGTTCCAGTAACCAAACATTTTGTTTTATTTGCATTAATGAACATGTTATTCCTTTTGCACCACTCTTCAACCCTGTATTAATCTTCTTGAACATCATCATGTATATTTTATATGTTTTTCATGTGGACGACCATTCATGCCAATTCCAAAACATGACTAAAAGGAGATGTTGGGTATATTCCAAAGAGACAGCAGTCCCAAAACCAAGACAAGTAAAAAGGCATCAATGAATTTCGACTAACCATGCTAACAGGGCAAAATTTATGTAACAACTGACAAAGTTCACATGAAAATATAAAGTTTAGGCCACACTAATTTGATTCATAGTTCTTTGGATTGAATGATAATATAAGACAAATCTGTGTGCCGTGTGCAGAGCGTCATCCCTCCACTATAACATGATAAAATATTTACAGATATTTTATTCATCATGTTCATTGTAATTATTCATTTTGAGAAAAGATGAAACCTCCACAACACTTGTTCAATATGAATCCTTATAGGTACATGCCCGGGGGTACTGTACATGATGAAACAATAAACTCATTTTGTTTTATCAACTGTTTTTAAATGGCAACTGTTATGACTCTGTGCATTGTTTCAGGAATATTAATTTAATAACACTGTGAAGTTGTTTAATTTTGATGATTAATTTTATTTTGAACCATCTAATAGATATTCACTTTCAATGCTTTATTATTATTATAAAATCTATTCATGTTTCGTTGTCCATGACTCAGGAATTATTTGAAAAATATACTGAACATGCATTTTTGCTAAATAAGTCAATAAAATTAATAATTTTCACAACATTTTATATATAAATATTTGATTTGTAGTAAAATTCAACTTGAATTATCTCAAATTCTATTAAATAATTTTATAAATAGTAATTATTGTACATCGGCATCGCCCACAACGGGCACAAGGTAATTAAGTAAAACAAGGGACATACTTATAAACCAGCGTTAGCAAAGTTATCATATGAAAATGGACATGTAAAGATTTTTTGGTTGTTGGTAATAAAAAATCCAGCGACAAATTAATCATGCAAATTTAGGACTAGACAGTTATCAATACATTAACATTATCAGTCAGGGGTGCTACTTAAGTGATTTCATCATCACTTATTTCAGTGATTTGATAAATTCAGTTATCACCTATTTAAGTGATTTTAGTGTTTTCTTTGATCTTCAAATGCTAATTTCATTGATTTTCCATATTTTCACAATCTTTTCTATAATTTTCCTACATAAATCAATTATCCCTTTTTCTTTGTATATTAATTTCACCAGTGCGCTTGGGCAGTAAGTTAGTGCGCTAAAGCTTTTAAAAGTACCCTTGGGAATTTTTCTGTAATCAAAAATTCATTAACTACTCTTACTATCAGACAAAGATCAACAATATTAGGTAACCTGATTGGTTTTCTTTAGAGTTAGAATGATCTACTTCAAGGTTATGACCTGATCTACAAACTATTCCAGTTTTTGCATATTTTAAAAAAACTGTAAAAGTGTCAGGCTTATCAAGCAAAAGACAATTTCTGCATATACATAGTTGTTTTTTCAATGGAATTGTTGTCTTTTTACCAATAAAAAAATCAAGCTTGTGGGAAAAATATCAAGAAAATGTTATAAACACTTATTAAAGTGATTACATTTTAACTTCTAAAATTACTTGTTTCAGTGATTTTAAAAAGTCTGTGTGAAAATTTTTAATATTTCACAGCCAAAATCACTTGAGGGAATGATTCTGAAATCACTTGTTTAAGTAGTACCCCTGACTGATTATCATACAATATGTATAGGTCCTGTAATAGGCCATCCTGCACAACCAAACCAATGCACCACATGTTAGGGTTTAACAGTAAGACGATGAACAGGGGTGGATCCAGCCATTTTTAAAACGGGGGAGGGTCCCGACCCAGGATAAAGGGGGTTCAAACTATATGTCCCCTTTCAAATGCATTGATCCTCCAAAAAAGGGGGGTCCAATCCCAGGAACCCCTAGCCCCGCCACTGGATGAAGACCAAGAGTAACCTTTTTTCTATTCCTTTGTCACCCTTGGGATGTATTTGAAGTACATAAGTCGTAAGGGTTTAAATGACATAATTTCATAAACATGATATTAAAAGGGGAGGGGAATGGTGTCATACATGAATTTCAACGATGCATAAACTTTTTACAATCCTACATCCTAACGTTGCATTGGAACACGCCACTATGCACGAGTGCGATGATATAGAACGTTGATGCATACCTGTAGGAACAAATGTGCACATTTTTCCTTCAAAATCTTGGATCCATGATTATTCTCAAATTCTGATGCAGTGAGTGATGGACATGCTTTAAAATATTGTTCATTTCTACTCACCGATTGCAATATTCAGAGCAGCTTATATTGTACTGTAAGTTTCCCTTCTACGATTTTAAGTAAAATATAGTTTGCCGACCTGCTTTTCCGCCGACAGAATGCAACAAAAATAAAGTGGGTACAGTAACGTTAAATCGTTTACGGGTGAAGAATTGTTTTCCGTTTTTAATAAAACTTGACAGATTTGATTAATTATTATCGGAAAATGTCCCTAATGGATAGTAATTCAAATTAAACCAGTTTTATTATGCTGTATAATATATGTAACTAAGTCATATTCTTTAAATTTACTTCACATACACCGACGGAACATTTTCACTTCCGCATAATCATCATGATAATTTATCAAATATATTTCAAATATAAATTTGAAATTATGAATTCATAAACCATCATCTCCAATAATATATAAACTCTATTTTTAAACGAAGGCTTCTGGTATGTAAAACAAGTTATAAAAGACTCTAAATAGACAGAATAAAAAAATAAAAGATACCTTTAGGAAAGTCGAATGCACAAGTCAAACACGATTGCAAAATGATTAAATAAACAACAACAACAATATATTTTTTTTAATATAAAACATGTTTAATAATTATATACGAAAAAGTAAGAATCGAAATTGTTTTATTTTTTTTAATTAAGTAGACTTGGTAAACTATCAAAATAACATAAACCGTCTTCTTTCTAATTTGTATTTCACTCTTGAAGGGGAGCAACCCCTGATACACACTGGGAAAGTTTCACTCGTTTTGTGTCCAAATTATTAAAATCTGAACACGACTGAACACAGTCTGACAACATCTTGACGTAATTTTGTATCCATGGTCTGATTTCGACTGAATCAGTCGTAACGGATCTTAACAGCTCGCTAGAAGATTGAGTCTTGTTTATCTTGACATGCCTTAACGGACTGATTTACCTGATGCGACTATCGATCGAAACGGCGTCTGAAAAGTTCTTAAAAGTCTTGACGTTTTTCTCTAGCGGTAAATCCAGTCGATTAAGATATGGTCAGACCAAAATGACCGTTTCAGACTGAAATCGTGCTACTAGTGTACCCTCTGAGACGGCTTCAAAGTAGAACATCCCTATTTCCGCAAAATGAAATGATCTGGCTTGGCTGATACGGAAAAGAGAATGTGCCCGTTGTTTCATTCCTTTATCGTTTATATATTTATTCATATATATGAATCTTTTTATGGTTTGCATATCTACAAATACTTCAATATCCAGAACTGGTCAGTTAGAACTTTATTTCTTTGTTCACACTTCGATAAATCATGTTGCTAAAACTGTTTTTGTAACTTATGTAAACTCTATGTGGAGTTTCACTGTGATATATTCATGCGTGATACGATACACATTCATGCGGTACTTTGCTTCGAAGTAAATGGAAATTGAAAACAAAAATTTAGAACTTTGTTTCCAATATTTTAATACATAAAATAATGCATTAGAGCTTGAGAAAATACATAAAAGGATAATAAGATAGCATGCCGCAAAATTACATAAATTGTTGTGGCGCATTCACGTCATGGGAACAAATCACGTCATACCAATGAAAATAATCACGCCAAAGGTTACATTCGCTTCAAATTTGGACAATATCTCATTACAATGGAGTTTTAAAGTAAGGTATAGTTTCATTTTCAATTTATTTGCATGGATTGTTTATGGATTTCAACAAGTCAATATGGCGGCTCGCTTCTTAGTAATGACATGTCCACTGTGGATTTGACGGTTTATGCTGAAAATTGTAAATCATAAATTGCTTACGTTTAGAAATGATATGCATTAAACTCATATTTTTTAGAAGTTATTGATGTTAATTCGACCGCTGACTCACACACTGAACATGAATGTCCTGTGGATTGTGTGTGTATTACTCGTCACAGTTAACACATCGATAACCTCTAGATAAAAGTGTTTAATCGTTAAATGTATTGATATGACTAGCAATAACGAAAAAAAAACTAATATGACAAAAATAAAATCTTATGATTTTCTTCCGTGTAATTGTAAACAGGAAGATTTCAACTTTGTATACATTATTTACTTTAATTTATAATAAGTTTTAACATGTTCACTGTCAAATACTATATCTGTATTTCATAAAGTATGAAGAGATCATTTACGTCATGTATGTAGTGGATTAAATTACAAATATAGTATACAATGTCTTCCTTGTTCTATTACAAGCCGTTTCGACATATGATGTATCTAAATGTAGACATATGTTTTCACCATGTGGCGTGCAATTATTTCCCTTTGAATCCCCCTGTCTGATGAACAATTGATTAATTAAATAGTTTAGCATTTTTTTAAAGATCTGACGCCCGGTTTATCTTTTTAAATTATGTCGTTTGTAAAACATATTTTGTTTCAAAATATAATTTTATCACTGATGGTTTAATTTTCTGTTTCACAAAACTTATTAACATCCAGAACACGATTTGACATATTTTCAAATGCCATTTTTGTTATTCTTAAGCTGTCCTGTAAGTAATTTTACAGGCATGGTACGCGATTGGAAATATTATTTCTGTTGGCAATCTAACTTGGGCGAAACATGCACAATCTCAGATTTCCCTTTTATTCATTACACTTTAAAATATGAAAGGAAAGACTATTGTTAACATTAAAAAAGATTTGAAAGAAGTTTGTTTAAATAGCTACATATAAATGTCATTGAATCATTAGTGGACTATTTCGGAAAAAATCAAAGTTGAAGGTAAAATAAGGATTACTTCAGTTTTTTGTTACAAATAACTAGAAAACAAGGTCGTTTATATTGTACTGTATATACAAGTTCAAGGATGCATCAGGCAAAATCGCAATTTATATTATTCCAAATATCAATAAAATGGAGATTTACTATCACCCGTTGAAAACTTAGCGATACGATACATTTAACATGTGTAATGACAGATTTTATACGGACGTAAATTTTGTGCTTAACATTGATTCAATTGACTTTTCACAGATTAAGAAAAAATAATGGCAGATAGAATACCTTAAGTTATGTAAACTAGGCATATTCATGGAAGCATTTCATTCATGAAACATCTGCATTATGATGTACTTCTTCGTCAATGATACTACGAACGTACACATTCGTGACCCTTATTAACTTGTCAATGTCTAAACTTGTAACGATATTACAAAGAGTGATGTGCACTGTTTTATGTTCCTTGATATACATATTAAAGAGATATCCTGCTGCAAAAGGATTGAACACACATTTGTTTTGCACTATCATTTGATAAATAAAAGCAATTTTTGTATTCTCGATGGACTAATGTACCGTAAAATGTGTAAAATAAATTCTTGGTCAAATGATTAGATAACTGGATACCATCCAAACACCAGATAAAAGCCCACAAAAGCACTAGAAGTCAACAAAGTATTTTGTATAATCTTCCGCACAAATAATATATCGCATAGACTTTATAAAAGATATACAAAATAATCTAAATACTTAAAATCAAAACATTCAAGAACAGACCACTAAGATCGCACTTTAAATGTCCTTTCAAAAAAAACATCTACAAGAAAGAAAGTGAGGAACACAACATTAGCAATCTAGACCATTTTCTTGATTTTTTAGACTTGTTTGATAGCTACAACGTATCCAAGGGTGTTTACAAAATAAAACCGCGTTTGTACATTCTCAGATATAGAAATCAAGTTGTAAAGCTAGTTTATCTTACTAAGTTATACATATATATGGTCTAAAAAATGCAACAATCAACATTCAGAGTGATTTGGCGCTGATAAGTTTGAAAATAAACAGATGCAGTTACAAAATAAACTAATGCAGTTACTTAATTAAATTATATAAATCCCTAAGAATATAGATTCAACTCGCTAATTAGTGTTTTAAAAATAGTTGTTATATTTTCAAGATTCACGCATATTTTGCCAGACAAGGTAGCTTCATCATGTTTCATCGGCAATTATACCAAATCTCTTAATTGTGTAAGGTTCATCAATCGCTTGCAGCCACCCAGGTGAAATTGGATGGTCCCGAGAATAAACTCATCATAGATAACATCATTTAAACTTTGTATGCCAGACGCGCGTTTCGTCTTTAAAGACTCATCAGTGACGTTCGAATCAAAAAAGTTAAAAAGATCAAATCAATTACGAAGAGCATTGAGGACGCGAAATTCCGAAAGATTTCGCCAAAAAACAGTTAAAGGTAATTTATTCCTGGAGTAGAAAATCCTTAGAGAAATTTTGCAGGTGATCGTACATTTCGTTTAAAATATATTTAAGGAATAACAGTACTGTAGTTGAAGAGTTGCCACCGTCAATTGTTGATATGACGGTGGCAACTCCTCAACTACAGTACTGTTATTCCGATTCTAATGCATTACACAAATAAATAATACGCTAGAGCTTTAAAAAAATTATTTATTTGACATACAAAAAATTCCGCGAAACTTCATGAATAATTTTGGCGCAAAGACGTCATGGCTAAACGTGATGTCATACAAATGAATACTTACAAACTGGAAATTATTAGGTTACTTGTACGATTCAAATTCGGATAAAATCACATTAAAACGGCAAATTCAATGTAGGTTTGGTTTTTTTTTCGATAATATTGTAGTAATCGAACATTTGTTAATCCAATCAATTCAAAATGGAGGGTCCCTCCTTAGTTACGCCTGGTCAACTGTGGATTTGACGGTAACTTTTAGCAAATGAACAAAATTGTTACATAAAAAATGCATTAGAATTATTTTGTACGCTGCTCAAATTTCTCATCAGCAATCGATTTCATCTGGTTATAATAATGAGATGTGGTATGATTGCCCATGAGACAACTATCCACCAGAGTTAAAATGAAATGGAAGAAACCAATAATAAGCCACCGTACGGGCTTTAACAAGAGAAAACCTATACCGTTTAATCGGCTATAAAATGTCCCGACATAGAAAATGGGAAACAATTCAAACGGATTAATTCATAACAAAAAAAATTAAACAACAAACTAAAAAATGACATACATGAACCAAACACAACCACTGTTCTACAGGCTTATGACTTGGGACAGGCAAATAAAGAAAATGGCGAGTTCAAACATGTTTGTGAAGGCTCAAACTGTCCCTCACCCTGGGACAGCGGTGCAACAGCACAACATAAGAATAAATTGTAAAAATCAATCGCAAATGGCTTAACTTAAAAGATCGATATGAGGCACAAAAACCACTAACATAAAAACAATAGACACAAAGCACATAAATAAGATTACTCGCAGTTACTGTACGCTAGTTAACTAATAAATAAATCATGTTCTACCAAGACAAAAAGTATCAATCAGTATACATCCAACGGATTTAGTTCAAAGACGTCATAAACAGTCTGAGAAACGCCTGACTTTGTTCAATGGCAAAATATAAGCAAAAAGTATCGACAGGATTTAAGATCATGAGTCCCCATAACTGTACATACATGTATATAGCAATATGTAGTTAGTTATTTTTAAATGTATCAAAAACAAAATCAAAGTTTGTACCTATAAAACAATTTTTAAAGAGTTTACTTCTGTGTTAAATTGATAGCCTTTAATAATAAAATTATCTAAAGAATCGATTGCTTTACATTGATCGTGTCTAAATTAACGAGCTTTCTTTAAAACATCATCGTAAAAATAAGGAAATGATATCCGGTTTTTATAGAAAAAAAATTATACAATTACATCCAAACGTTCTTACTGAATTTTTGTATCTATAAATGAATTTGGTCAAAGTTTTAATTAATTTGTGGTTAAGAAATCCTTGACTTAATAGTTTACCAGGTATATATCAAAATTACGTTCACCAAAATCTAAAACGCAACTACAGACACGGGCATAGCGAACAATTTTTAAAATAAACACACCAGTAGAAGGGGTCAAAAGCATATCACCGTTTTGGAAAATAAATAACCAGAAACAAAAAATCGTCTCTTTTTTCATAAATTTTAGTTTAGAGTTTCCCATGTGAAATTTACGTATGCAAACTTAGAAAAGGACACATATTGCTGTCTGTATTAGATTCTTTAAGGTATGTTCCTTTCTTTAAATTTCAGCGGTAAAATTAGAACATGCTTGATTATTCTTACCATAATATCATCAAGGTAAGGGTAATTGATTTTGAATTTTTCAATTTAACATAATTTGGACGGTCCTTTACTGAGTTTGTCAATTAACTGTGATTCACAACAATATAGGAACGAGTCGGCTATTAAAGGGGCGCAATTGGTGCCCATACACATTACCTGTTAATAAAAATTATTGCCGAAACGTACATAGATATTGTCAAGAAGAATATTTACAGCTTTAATAATTTGATCACAGTTCCAGTAAGAATATCTTGAATAATTACAGAAAAAGGCTTTAAATGATTGGCAGAAAAAAATCTACAACCAGATTTTTCAAAGAACCATCTTATTCAATAAGAGAATTTCTGCTTGATACAATTGTGTGGTGATGTATTGTACATAGTCCAAAAATCATAAATGTCATCCGAATGGAACAAATCATCAAAAGATCGCAATTTATCCAAAACATCCAAAGAGTTTTTGACACTTCAAAAATACTTAAATCCATTATTTCCATATGCTTTACTACAGAAATAAAAAAAAGAAGTATTAAGAGAAGTGAGAGAACTAGCTTAAGTGCAGAAATATTAATCGCATACAATTATATACAAATGTCTATTCTTTTCTAAATTTTATATTGTTTAAGGATTTTGTGTTCATCAAAGTCGTAGTCATCATTGACATTGAAACAATATGAGGTCAAATCGCCAGTGGCTATATATGCAATTATTAGTTAACACAGTCTGTTGTATTTATGGTAAGTATAATTCATATATATGAGAAAATAAACAATTGTAATTTTGTATGGGGAGTGTTCCCTTTTGTCATGTTATTCCTGGGGGTTCGTAATTGCTTTAGTATGATTTCGATTAACATGCATATGAAATTATTGGTGAAGGAAAATTATAAAAATCCTTAAGTTTGAACACATATTGATTAAACTTTGTTTTATTGCCGTTAGATGTTAAGTCAATTCAGCGGACATAATTTCTATGTTTTAGATTAATATAGGATTATTGCATGAATATTGTTAAATATTGTCCCGAGTATATTTTATATTACACGAGTTTGGAAGTACGATTTATATTCTACAAGGGAAAATATTCACTTATATTCATGCATAGCTTGAACAACTGTTTCACAAACAAATTTGTCAATGATGACGTCGAAAATTAAGCACAATAGCATATACTAGTGCACACTAACTTTCCGTTATATTCTGTAGAACATATAATGTTGCTGTACAATATAGATGATATTGTACAGAAAAAATACTTATTCGGGCATTTAAAACTGAAAAGAAAAAAAAAATAATCCTGTGGTCTTAAATGTAAAATTATGTTTGCTTTATCAATATACAATCTGAGCGATATCAAATCTTACACTTAAATCACTGTTGTTAACTGATTTTCTTTCAGTGCGAACTGGTTATTGTTTTGTATCACATCGTGTCCCGATGCTTGGTTTTATACTGACCATAAGGGAATTGAGTTCTTTGTCGTTTCATATAGTTTCAGTTTAATGGTGCAATGGAGTAAAGTGCTTTAAAAAAGTAAAATAACAAAAATACTGAACTCCGAGGGAAATTCAAAACAGAAAGTCCTTTATAAACTACAACATTCGTTTTCACAGTTCTTTATTTTCCCTTGTATTCACGGGTAACATTATACATAATATTTGTCCAAGGGAGTTGGAACTCTGTTCTTTAACAGTATTTTCCTCTTATCTGTTAACGGATAATCAAATCAACTTCACTTAATGTGTCCGTTTATAAATTAAGAAATGATACAGAAACTAAGGTTTTAACTCCAGCAGGCAAAATTGATGAATATGGCTATCATTTTATGTCCTTTTTGGTAAACAAAATATTCTTCAACTGTTTCGGCTCCTATACATATACATTTTTGTGTTGACATGAGATCCAAATGATACGTTCTTTTTAAATAAATTTACTATTTACACGATGTTGAATTACTAGAAAAACTTGGATGTTTCTATCCACAAGGCATGTATTATCCTTGCCGTATTTTTGCACAACCGTTTGGAACTTCTCGGCTGGTTATGCTCTTCAACTACGTATTTGGGTTGTCCTTTTAACTGTTTTGATTTAGGAGCCATTGAAAAGTCCGATGAAGACGCAATGCGCGTCTGGCGAAACAATTATAAGTCAGATACACGTATATGTCATGAGTTCTCACAACCCCTGTTTTAACTTTTCTTTTCCGAGGGTATAACCATCCTAGTAACCAGGCAACTAATTATTAGCCTGTCAACTATGATGAGAGTTTGATGCGTCTCTTGTAGACAAGACCATCGTTTTGCGTACACTATTATAAGTCTGTTATCTTTGATGAGTTCTCACAACCATGGCCGGTGAGATTGCATGTACTTGGTGGTATATTTCGTCACCGCTGCGAGTGTCTACAATTAATTAAAGGGTTTTTACATTTAGGTACGTTTTAGAGTACACAATGATATGCCTTGTATTTTATATGTTGTGAACAACCAAAAGGCCAATTACACTGCTGGTATTACCAGCGCCGTGTTCATGTATAGTCGGCACTATGTACTGAACTGAAATATCACGAAGACGATATTTTTTGTGTGTTAATTCACTGTTCATCAAACTATTAAATAATAAGTTATGCCATTGCGTTGCCAGTGTATATGTGTTCGACTTATGAAGTTGAATATCTCTTTGTTATCTTTCGTCTCTTTTTTTTTAGAATATTGAGTAATGTACAAGTTTTTCTCATGAATAATTTATTTTGTTAAATTTACTGTCCTTAAAAGTATAAAATCCTTCGGAAAATAAAGGTTTTACTTCCAGCAGAGATGGATAAACTTGGTCAGAATTAGCGTATCTTAAAGATTTCTTTTGTTTTTAATGTTATTTAACCCATCATTAATTTTGTGTTCGGTTTACACAATTATCAGTCTGGTATCTTTTATACTTATTTCAATCACTACATTGATATAATTGCCGATGGATTTTTTTCTCCCTCAAATGTATCATCATCCCATTGGTCATCACGCCTGTGCTGACGAGAGATATAGGCATATTGACAAATATGTAAATTGAGTTGGAAAGTTTAAATCAGACAAACTATTTACTTGTAAATTGTTTGAATTTAAAACACTTACAGAGTTATGAGACACTTGATCTTACTGACTAGCTTTTACAAAATAATTCATGGATGAAAATTTGTGACAATTTCTAATCAATACAAATTAGATGTCGTTCTGTCCCTATTTCAAAACTAGTTTTAGGACTGTGATCGTACACAAACCTTATCAGACACAAGAGGCGCTTAATTCGGTTTGACTTGCTTCCTGTCCATTCAAATATTGTCTTCTTTTAAGAAGTGTTTAAGGTTTGGGTTTCTTGTATAGAAAAAAAGGGATTTATAAAAGAAGCAAATGATACAAAGGGGACATTCGAAACTCATGAGAGGACTAAAAACTGGCAACTGGTAACAAAGCAAAAAACTATTGGTATTTAATTGTCAAACGAGAAAAGACGAAAAGACGATTAAGTCCCAACAAACATTTTACAAAACACTATAGGCTTAGCAACACACACCACCACCAAACACTAGTTTTCCGGAAGGGTATGAAGATTCTACTTCACTAATTGCTACCGTCATTCTGCTCCAGTTAATAACAGATTCGATACAAATTCTTATTCGGTGATGTTACAATTAGTGGAAAATGGACGGGGATTAAGGCTATGATAATTCGAACATTTCCGTGGTCATCAGTTAAAAAGATATTTTATACCGGTCAACCAACTCGTAAAACTTTCTAACGGATGACTTCAAAGTTATCAATAGGAACCCTTGGTAGAATAGCTTCCCTGTACGCAGTATTCCTCAATTAGGAAATCATAATATTAAACACAAGCTCTAGAATATTTTATCACGTGGGGGATAAATAATTTATTAACAGGGATATCAGGTTGCTACATAGAATATGAAAGTTATTGACAATTGGAAAGATGAAATCATATCATTTGTCGAAAAGTCTTGTTTTCATATATCCTTCCTCTTGAATTTAAAGATTTGAGTCAAAATAGGTAACAGACGATCCGAGTAAGCTTATAAATCCTTTTAATAAACTTATTCTAAAATGTTACCAATTCAGCAGTGTAAATAGATCATTGTACATTGTTTTTATCGGGATAAATATTGATTTTGTTATTATTAAATTAAAACCATGCTAAATATTATTGTTATACACATATGTACATTAACTCCTACAACATGTCGATACAAACTTATAGTTTGCCACGGTCATGTTTTGCTCTGACTGTTAATGAAGTCTTTAACTAAATCCACTGGATGTTGGGTTGTACTGAATGATATTTTAGTCTTCGATCCATGGTGGGTTTTTTTTACTATTCATTGGCTTTGAACTCATTTTTAGTAACAACGAGTACTCTCATACCTTTACTTTGTGTCTTTTGTGATTTTGTTAGGGGTTCTTTGTGCTTTGTATCTATCTAGCGAAGTAAGCCCTTTCATACACATCATTTATAGATGGACAGACTTTGACTCTAGATCATTCTTTTTTATTTTCATTTTCAAAAATGCCAATCCTTGTTGAATATTTATATATATAATAAAATTGTCACAGATAACTTCTCTAAAGACACCGATACACATATGTATTTCAATTTTTACTCAAACCATCCAAAACATGTAAAATTAAATATACCTTTTAATCTAGCGTCAAGAATAATTACCATTACAAGTACAGAACTATTACGCAATAATAGTTTGGAGGAATAAAAAGTGTATTTAAAAAAGCAGCAATATCCGGAACAAGTGATAAATTACGGAATTCAAAAGGCACTGACAAAAGGACCAATCATTACAGAATCACGGCGATCCGAATCAGCCGAAGAATCATCAAAAAATTTAGATAAAATTATCCCGTGTGTAACAACATATAATCCACGAGATTATGATATATTAAGTTTCATGCGACAAATTGAAAATATTTTACACAAAAGTGAAAAAATGGACAAAGTTTTAAAAAAAAAAAAGATTATCAACAGTAAAAGACAGTCAAAAAGTCTAAAAAAGTAAAAAAAAGACCCATTGGTGGCCTTCGGCTGTTGTTTGCTCTATGGTCGGGTCGTTGTCTCTTTGACACATTCCCCATTTCCATTCTCAATTTTAAAACGATATTTAACATCTTCAAAATTCAACTTTAATGAAACTTTGCCTATTGTAAAAACATGTACCGATAAACGATGTATGACATGTCCAAATTTAATAGAAGAGAGTTCAATTTATTTTAAAAATGGAAAGCATTTCACAGTTCAACAAAACATGTCTTGTAAAAGTTCAAACGTCATTTATTCTCTCATATGTTCAAATTGTGAGGAATTCTTTATTGGAGAGAAAAATGAACTGCTTACTAGAATGGCTGTTCATAGGCAGCAAATCAACCATGAAGATTTAACAATCATCCGGTCTAACGGCCATTTCCATCGTTGTTCTAATAGACGATTTAAGATATTTCCATTGTATATGGTGAATCGTAAAAATGATTTACTCCGGAAGAAGAAAGAAGAATTATTCATAAACATTCTAAACCCGGAATTAAATGATAAATAATATTTTAATTTTTACTTAAATAACATTTTAAAGATTTTACTCAATTTTTTTAAATTACATCAGTAGTCTCCCTTGTATTTGTTAACGTCATACTATTGTTAAGGTCAATCAATTGTTTTGTATAACGCTTATA